TAAAAAAAAGATCATATTTAGACAAATAAGTGCAAATGACCTAGATGCATCAATTTCCGTAAGAGGCATGCAGTGCAATCTGGATGCTGTCTGCAGAGACTGCAGGTTTATGTCACTGCTCCTCGCGCTTGCTGTCCTGGTCTGTGCCTTGGGGCTTCTCCCATACCGCCCCTGAAGTCTGTACTAATCCTACCTGCTCTCATCCCGTTTTCTCCTCCATCTGTCACCTTTCTCTCAGACGTCATCAAAATGCAGAGCTGGGAAGGACCCCAGGAGATTAGCTATTCCGCTCGCAGGATTAAGTATACTCAAATCATCTCTGATGGATGTTTGTCTAACCTTATTTTTGAAAATCTCCAAGGAATGCTGCCCCAAGACTTCCCTGTTTTGTCTGTTCTAGTGTTCAGCTACTCTTAGAGCTAGAAAGATTTTTTTCCAAGTATCTAATCCTATTCTCCTTTGTGGTAAATTAAGACAAGCCACAATCGAAATGGAGAATAATTGATCGCCAGCCTCCTTAGAAGAGAAGCAGCTTTCACATATTGGAATACCAATAGCATGTTTCCTCTTATTTATGTCCTTTCTAGATTAAACAACTCCATTTCTTTGGCCTTTCCCCACTGACCAGGTTTTGAGAGTCTTTTTTTTTTTGTCTTTTTATAATTTCTTGCACTTACCTGATTTAACTACAAAAAATAATTTTGTTTGCCATTCAAAACTGGACAGTGTAAAGCAGCTAGTCGTCATCCTGGCTTAACTATGGACAGGATAGTATATAATACTATACTAATATAGCCAGCATATAAACAGAGGTAAATTCTATAGCTTAATAATTTCTTCCTAATTCTCTCGTATTTGATCCCTGGGATAATCAGGACTAATAGCAGCAGCCTGTCCCAGCTGCCATTTCTGCCCTCCCCTAAGCCCGAGCTCCTTTTGACAGTGTGGCTATTTATATAGCTGATAAATCTCCATTTTGTGTATACGTATTTGTTTTGTCCTTCTGACACGTAGTACTTACACCAGTCTGTTTAAACAATCCGTTTTCACCCTCAGCCACACATCTGCTTTCCTTTATCTTGTGCGTGCTTGTTTGATTGAGCTTACGCGCTCGAAGAAAGGAAAGATGATAGTCCTGCGCTTGATAAAAATGGCGTACAGAACAAGGTTCATTTCTCACACTGCTACGGGCTTTCTGTCTGCACCTTGCAGAAATCACAGAAAGCAGCATTGCTTTCATTGCCTGCGTGTTCCCTGAATTTTTATTCTCTTGTCCACGTACACAAAAAGTTCCTTGAAACAGAGGTTTGGCCTGGTTTGCTGTACGTCTCTCATGTCGCCCAGACGAATTCCTAGATTTTATTGAAATCAATTACGGTGTAAGCCAAGTGCCTTTGCCCATGCTTCACTAAGGAGTTAAGTAATATATGTTATTCTGTAAGAGCTGTAGGAACATATGTGATAAAATATCCACAGATCAAATAATTATTGTTTCCTATACTGTGGGTGTTAAAATTTAGTCAATTAGGAAATAATATCCATTTATTGAGTGTTGGCAAGAAGAGGGGAAGAAAGGAGAAGTGGTAGTAGGGAGTGCCTAACCTATTAAAAATACCATTATCCAGTTACAGTTCTTAATCTGCTATATGGGCTGAACTTTCTCGAAACCAGGTGTGTACGAAGCGTCTTCCATGTGCAGGCGCGTGCTATTCACCGAGATGTTTATGTGCTCCACCACTCTGTGGTGGAAAATAAAGGGTCTCTTAAAAACTTGGGGTATCGGCGCTGGAGTTTATAGTCGACGAGTGGGGAATGGTCCTTCTTTTGTGGAAGTACGAAGGAAATGCACCGTTGGCACAGGGCAGCGACCTGCACTCGGGTAACGTCAGGCATGGACTTGCTCTGAGCTATTTACCTTTTCCGTACCTCTTTGAATGGTTTCATCTTCCTCCATGGCAGCACCTCTCTCTCCTCTGGGCCTCCCCCCACTCCAGGGGCTGTTTCTCCACCAGAAAGTTCCTGCCAAGCTGGAGGCTGAGAGCTCTGGGGAGGGCGATGGGAGAAAAGATGATTCCTTTCTTCTAGATTCATTATTGAAGTTTCTTCTCAAAACGAAAGTAAAAGTGGCAGGCAGGAGCTTTGCGCTTATTGTCTTTCCCTCCTCCGCCCGTGTGCTTACCTAACGCTCAAGGACAAAAACGCGGTGTTTCTTCTTCATGTGTTTTCTGCAAACAGTCTCGATAGCTGAGCTTGTTCTTTCCCGCTATTGCATTCTCACCACCAATAATAATCTTTGGGGCCATTTTGTTTCCAAAAGCGCTTGTACGATTCCATTATCTCCTCATTGCTCCTTCAGTAACTCCTAGGCAACACCGTTATCTTCACATCCAGTGCTCAGCAACACCTGCAAAACACGGGAGCCTCTAAAACGCGCTGCAGAAGCCTCGCGGGAGGCAGCGATTGTTCCTGCTGCAGCCTTGGAGGGGAAACGTATGGAGCAGTTCAGTCAGACGTGTCCAAACCCGATGTATTGTCCTCTGGAAATATAATGACAGCACAAAGCTGTTAAAACATTCACTTAGCATTAGCTATTAAAAATAGTTTGTAATGTTTTCTAAATCAAAATTGGAGAGATAAGAGAGGAAAAAACGTATTCCGTACATGTAAGAAACAAGCTAATGCACAGAGCCTTGTATTTTCAGAGCCAGGTGAGAAGGAGGATTGTGATTATTTATTCTTGTAATACCTTTTATGAACAAATCTCTACATAATCATGAATATTGCATAGAAAAGTATGTTTGATCCTCCTTCACCCATCTCACTCACAAGGACAGTCTGTTCAGTGTTGTGTTTTGGAAGTTTTCATCAGCGGTGAGTCGGTTCTCCCTGTCTGGGAAGAAGAATAGTTGCTGGTATAGCTAATTTAAGGAGCACGTGTTTTTTCCTAGGAGATTTGTTATCAAGTTTTTTTGAGAATGTGGTGAAGATAGATGCTATTTCTAAGAACTAGTCCAAGACTCAAATTTAACCACAGTGCACAGTATTGATTTAATTGAACAAGTTTAGCGTGATGCTCACAGCCTTTCCTCAGCACTTCACTGGGCACAGAGGGAGAGGAAAGAAGCAATTTTCCAAGTTAGGACAAAACAGGAAAGATATTCTATTGCATATTCAGCCTGAAATATCCTTTTCACTAGTCAAAGCCTACATACTAGAGGGAGATATTTGTACAAGACATTAGTTAATGGATTTTTTCCCCCCCTAGAGCATTCCAGAGGAAGGAGCCAGGTTTTAAAGACTACGAGCTTCTGGACAGTGCCCTGTCTCATGATAGTTAATACTGTCTGGCAGATCCATGAGCAAGTTTGCTAAAAAAATTATGATGTGCAATTTATTTTCCAAGATTAATGATTTGTTTAAAATAAAACCTACTGCTTATCTTTAAAAAACCTCACTACTAAATCTTATTTGAGTAAATAAATGCTGTACATTGATTTTATTTTTCCTCTTAAATGAATCCTTTGACATAGCATTTATCTTTAGGCCACTCTCAAAAATCAAAAAGTATTTAAATTAATTTAATACACCTAAATATTGGCTTTTGAGAATGGGTAGAGGAAGGAAATCTTGATTGTGTGTTGCTAAATTTGGCTTTTTAAATATGTATGCCTTGAAATTTGAATCACCTTATGTGGTCATGACTATGTAATTAACGTTCTGTTTTCTGATGGTCATTTTTTGTTATCTGTTCCTAAAAAGACATAGCGATGTGGGGCCAATGCTGCTCTTACACCAGTATATATCGGGAATAGTTCTAGTAAAGGCAGTACAAAATTTGATGGGCAAAGCCAAAATAAGTATGAAGAGGGTAAGGAGGAAAAGAAATTATCTGTTTTTTACTACAGTTTATCAGCACCCACCATTTCACATCTGTGGTGGAGCAGTTGACACGATAGATCTCGAAACACTTTTTTTAGTGCCACCTCCACCTACCGCTGTCTCCCAGCTGCTGTGACTGCATGCCCTCCGTGGTTTGGCGGGGGGGATCATGGTAGCCGCAGTACCGCTGCACAGGCTGCTGCCGGCACGGAGCGGAGGTTGCGCTGGGCGTGTCAAACAGCCACGGAGCTGTGGGTGTTCTCACGTGAGTTGTGAAAAATTAATAATTAAGACTATTTTACTTTTCCCTTCCCAACGTAGAGAAATGAGCTGTTGCTGAAAAACAAGGGGCAAGGATAATCAACTTAGAAAGGAGATGAGGATGAACAGGTTTGGTTGTAAAGGTTAGAAACGTCAAGGAGGGAAAAAGAAAAAATTTAAGCCGGATCAAGAGGTTAAAGCCAGGGCGTAATGGGACAGAGATAGGTTAGGAGTTCTTTGAACTGAGAATCAGGGTGATTTTCTTGCCAGTGAGTTGTGTATGAATGGGAAATGGGTTCCAAGGAGAAGGGGCAGAGACCCATCTCCCCTGAATCTGAGAATGTGTTTAGAAAACAGAGATCTGCACTACCCAGTCTGCACTGCCAAACATGCCCGAGCTGATTTCTCAAGATTTATGCTTCTACACAGCCTCGTTTGCAGCACAGGAATCGCATCAGACCAGTGGCCTGTATTTTCCGGTTTCTCGTCCTATGGAACAGAACTTCCCATCACGGAAAATGATGGCAGTATGTTACCTACTCAAAGGCATTTCTTCATGCCTACAAGCAAAATTTTGCAGCATGAGGATTTGTATTTTCTTCTTTTATGCCTACGATCTACCCTATTTGTTTAGCCAGCAGCAAATGTATTCACAGCAGATGAGGCTTGAAGAATCTGACCATGTTTCGCCGTTACTTCTTTCTTTTCTTCAGCCCTCCCATGAATTCCCTGCTGAGTTCAGGCTCTGCAAGTATCTTACCATCAACCCTTTTCTCTTTGTCTCTCTGTAGGATCTGATACGAAGAGATATTCTGTATTACAAAGGTCGCATAGACATGGATAAATATGAAGTGGTGGATATAGAAGACGGGAGAGATGATGACTTCAATGTCAGCATGAAGAATGCCTTCAAACTTCATAACAAGGAGACTGAGGAAATGCACTTATTCTTTGCCAAGAAACTGGAGGAGAAGTTACGATGGCTTAGAGCTTTCAGAGAAGAAAGGAAGATGGTAAAAGAAGATGAAAAGATAGGTGAGGAATATGAAATGAATCTGAAAGGAGATTGGTGGTAATGCTTAATTTGGCCCCAACTGTTGGAGAAGCCCACATTTTTTTCATAGTAGAATTACAGTTCGGCCTTGTTCAAATGTCCTTGGTTGCTCTCATAGTCATAAATAGGTCTCTTTCCAATTCAGTTACTGTTATTTTTGGCCCTCAATAAACAAATTCTGCCCATAGCTTCAAGCCTGGACCTCCGTGGGTACTGTGGGAGAAGGAAGTCTTTGGCCATCTGACTTCAGAGTCTCCTGGCTGCATCGTTTCTGCTCTGGTTAAGCATGTCTCATGTAGGGTAGGAGGGCAGCAAAGTCAATGACTTACCAGCCGTGCCCTTCCCTCAGCATCAGCCCATAAATTGACAGTAACCAGCGTCAGTTCAGGCTCAGTTTGTGTTGCTCAGCTGTAAAGCCCTGGGCATATTTATGACACTGTATAAAAAATAATGGGTCTAATCTTCCTTTTCATACAGCCCCTGCACAAGTGAGATTATAAAGAGGCCTGCCCTTTCAAGGAAGATTTGCTTTTCAGTAAAATACCTGCCCATACACACAGCTCACTGGGTGATGCTTTGCCACCTAGGGCGTTCTGTGTTTGCCAAACAGTGCAGAACAGTCCCCCCTCCCCAAAAGATAAAGAGGTTTTGTAAGCAATCTTCTGAATTGTGTTTGCCGTGTTCCCTTTTTCAGGCTTTGAAATTTCTGAAAATCAAAAGCGGCAAGCGGCAATGACAGTAAAGAAAGTCAGTAAGCAAAAAGGTAACCGGCAACATGCACTGTGCCTGGTGATGTGAGGGTGGAGCGGGCTGGGCTGAATCCTGCTGGGCTAGGATCCAGCGTCCCCCTTGAATTTCCCCCTCCCCTTTCTCTTTTTTTATAAAATACCGTTTGTGCTTTGTATCCTTTCTTAATGTATCTGTGGGCCAAATTAATCTCTGGTCTCATGTGGTTGAAGCCAGTGGAATTTCACCAGAGATGAATTTGATCTCGTGTCTCCAGTCTGATGTCCAGAAGCTGTCCCCGGGGGCAGAAATCTATCTCAGTTGTTTATCTCAGGCTGAAATGGCAGCGAGTGCGGAGATGTGTAGGGGTTCTGCTAATTCCCAAAGTCTCCCATTAGCAAAGAAAGAAAGATGGCTAAAATACTGGAGATGGTGAGGGATCTACCCCTTTTCTGCTTTTGGAAAGGGGATACTCATGTTTCCTGGGGCTACGTATAACTTTTTAAGGACAGCAGAGTAGCATCAGCTCTAGGAAATAAAGTATCTTAGTAAAGACATTATATCTCTCTAATGTCAGATTCATTTCCCCACCCAGGCAGGCTACAGCCAACTAATAAATGCCATGCTAGATATTAAACCGTCTCTCAACTGGCGAAACAGCCAGCGTTAATTACCTCTCGCAATAACTCTTGCAGCTACAGGTTTTGAAATAGTAAATACGGAGGGAAAGTCAGAGAGGTCATTTTTCAAGTTTTCCAAAGCTTCACAAAGCTGTAGACATACGGATTCGTTACCGAAGTACCGTGGCACAGCTAGGCCTATAAATGGGATTTGAGACAACTCATCACTTCTTGGCTATAGTCAGTTCCAGGCAGATTTGTCCCCGCTCTGTACAGGCATTGGGTTGTTTTTGGTAAAAGTTGAAGGAGCTCTTTGCTTTCTGCCTCACCTGTTTGTCGTCTACTGGCTTTGCTGGTCCAGTAGTGGTTCGCTAGGCTGACTTTGTAAACTCCTTGGTTTGCTGTGTCTCTCCATTGTCATTAGTCTTCTCCTCTCTACTAACTTCCTATGTTGTCTTCTGAGATGTTCTCTAAAAACTCTCCTGGCCAGATTTTCTAAGCTCAAAGTATGCACACACCCAAAAACGGGCCCGGGGAACGCGTCTCTTACACAATGCACGTGTAGTTCAGGCAGTAGCGGACGCTGCCACGAGCTCGGTTTTGCAGATGGGCCCCTCACCACTTGCATGCTTGTCCCTCAGCACAGAAGCAACCACGGAGATTACGGCAACTGGAGAATTAGAGAAACTGACTTGCATGATGGCCACGACAAAAACAGTTTTAATTATTATTTGCTGTTCAATTAATTGTATTATTAATTAATTAGGGTATTAATTAATTAATAATTGTACTGTTGAGTCATTAAGTGACACAGTTCAAAGGTGCCTGAGCATGCCTACCAGTATTCCCACTGAAATCACTGGACTTGCATCCTGACAAATATAATATGCCTAACCGTACTTACTTCTTACCCAGCAACTGCTCTCTTGTTTTCTCTCTTTCTCTTTCTCTCTCTTTCTCTCTGAGATGAAAAAGGAGGGGCTATTATCTTAGACTTCTCTGACTATAAAATTAATTAGCTCCTAAAACACCAGTCAGCATGTCTTTTATGAAGGACAAGCTTATGCTATAACACTGGCAGTTCTTTTTATGAGATGAAGTCCTCGAGTCAGACAGAAATCCAGTCAGACCCCAAGCGTCAAGTTAAGTGAAGCCTGGTTGTTTTACTTGAGACATGAAATCTGAAAAACAACAAATAGGGTCATTAAATTAATAGCTCTGTTTCTTTTGTCCTAGATTGTGGTAATCATAGCCCAGTCTCAGATTAATTAAATTAAATTAAATACCGGCATTGAACGTTTTGCTGAAAACTGTTAGTTTTCTTACTCTGTGGTTTGTCTTGCGCCCACGACCCGAGAGAGGCACGAGGCTGCCGGAGCAGGGAGCTGGTGGCATTGCTCAGAAGAGGGCGGTAGGAGGAAATCCCTGAGAGTTGGCTTTTAGTGACTGATTTTTTGTATATTGCCAACAATTTTTTTTGCCAAAGACCTTGGCAGGCACTTGGGGCTGTGTTGCTGAGGCTGAGGTGCAGCTCTTGGGGCTGGGAACAGGCAGACGGGTGTCCCTATGCCAGGAGGTCGCAGGCACCACGTGCTGCCTTTGCCCTGCCCGCACAGCCTCCCACAGCACGACAGTAGCATTGGAAGGGGCTTCAGGTTGGTTTTGGAGCATCAGTTATACCTGGGAAGCAGTGAAGCCCTTCAGGAGTAGGAATACTTCCACTGCATTCAACTGAACTATTTATTCATTGAAATTTATGGACTTTGCAGGACAGGTCTCAGTGGCTGCAGCAGGGCTTGACGGCTCAACAGCTTGACCTGACATGTCGAGAGCCCTGCTTCGTGTCAGTGGATGCCTGTTACAGACTTCTTTCTAGATTATGTCAGTTGTTCCCTCCACCTCTTAAATGGGAAACCATGGTAATTTCCCTGTCACAGAATACTTAAGGAAGAAAGAAAAGCCGTGAAGGAGGTGAAATGGAAAATGCAATCATCTTTGTTTGAGGTGAAGCAGAAAAACATTTTTCAAATAGTATAAACTGCCGCTTATTTCATGCACTGTTGTACCACACCTCCCAGAAGTATTGCTCTGGAGCTGGCTGGCGTGCATTTGAAAAGGAAGCATTTAAACTACCGCTCGCTGCAGCAGGCGAGGGAGAGACGCTGAGAGATCAGCTGACAGCAGGAGAAGAAACCTTAAAACTCTGCTTTTTAAACTAATGGAAACTTTATCCAGGTGATTAAGAGAGAGCACAGCTCTCAGTGTTTTGAGAAGTTTTTGATCCCAAAATGAGGGTCCTCTGTGGGGCACAAGTCAGCCCCCTCTGGAAGCAACCCCCTCCCAACGCTCACGTCTGCACAGAAATGCGTGCACTCATGCAGTGCCGGGCTTCCTTCCAAATCAATTTAATGATGCGCAAGGTCAGATTTCAGCAATATACTAGGATTTGCACTACTTATTGGATAGGGAAAAATGTAATGATATTAGACCAGGTGCCTTAAGACAGCATTAAACCAATTTTTGGCCTCCTTTAAGTCCATTAGACATAAACTAAATGGGTAGTGTTGGCTTTGCACCTTACCAACAGATAGAGAAAAGGGCTGTTTGTTGGGTTGTTTTTTTTCTTTTTGCATTGATTGTTCCAGATTTTGCCTCTCGGTTACTGCCCTCTAGCCTCTTTCAATGTCAGTGTGGTAACTGGGAATAGAATTCAGTGTGGTGTCTCCTAGAAATAGTAAAGTAACAGTGAAAATTATTTGTCTTGACTTACAAAAACAACAAAAAACCCCACAACCCTTTTTAAGCTACAGCCAAGCAAGCGTGCCACTTTTCTGCAGGCAAGTCCAGGTACCACTGAGGACCTTTGCTGCCTGCGCTGACACTGCAACGTTAAGATGGCATCGAGTTGCACTTCTGAAATTGTGCTCGTTATTGACTAAAGCAGTGGAAACAAGTCTAAAGTTCCATTGAAAATGGATCCTTTGTGGATCTCCAGTCCATCCTTAACATAGACACCGGATTATCCAGGGTACTTTTTCCATTTCTATGCGTCTGAAAACAGAAGGCTCCTTTGGTGCCTCTGTCCATCAAGGGCTTCTGTTCTGCTGGCCACTTTTAATCTCCCCTCCAACGATTAGTGTTTGCAGCTTTCAGAAACATTCAGTTACTTTTCTGATCCCCAGCTTTGTCCACATCTGTCCCCATGCAGGACAGCGTGTACACGTAAGGGATTTCTGCTCATGTTCCTAGAAGCTGTCAGCCAGGGGTGTCAGGGGGATTAGAGGTTCCCGTGCCCAGGAAGGAGACCCCATTCTTAAAGCACCGTTTCCCACTAATGTTTCCATTCTGGAAAATGTAATGTCTGTTCAAATATAAAGAAGTGACCTTAGTGCTAGGTGGAAGGGTTTCCCACCCCAGGAGAGCTCTTCAGACCCATGCTGTGAGCCAGCTCCTTCGTGCCCTTCTCTCCGTCCTGTGTATTCTCCTCTGCACTGTGCCACACAGCTTCACCAAAGCAGATGCCCTCAGCCCAGACAAGCCTTTAGCCTGGTGGTCTGGGACCTGCGGAAGGAGGGAAACATATATTCAATCACCATCACCCCTAGCCCTGAGCTGAGGAGGATGCTGTCATTAAATCTGCCCATAAATACTCAGCTATGCAAACCCAGCAGGGGTTAAATCATCAGCCAGCATGAACTGCTTTGGCCTGCAGTAAAACACCCTCTGAGTCACTGAATTTTCCTGCTAATTTCTTCCTTTCTGATCACTTGAGCTCACAGCGAACTGTGTCATAAAAACCCTGACCCAAACACCCAGCAGCTTTTCTCTGACTTCTCACACTTCTGCACTTCAAGCTCTCCCCCAGCAAGTCTGCATAGCAGAACGGGATGACTGCACGTTAGCATACTTGTGCTGGCTTCATCCAGCTGGCGAGGACAGGTCTTACCAGGTAACAGAGTCCGCAGGTACCTCCTGTGGTTCTCCTGAGTGCTTAAGCCTATTTTATTGCATCTTCGTTGCTAACAAGATTGACGTGGCCCCAACACGTCTCCCCATCCTATTCACCCATGTAGGCATAACCTCGAGGGGATTGGAAGAGACTGAGCAACAGGTAGACCAACCACTTTAAAACAAAGAGGGGCATTTGCACTTCCAGATAATCAGGGTCACTTCCCTTTTTTCACAGAGCTTCTCACAGCGTAGGTGAAAGACTGGAGCTAACCGTGTTCTCGGTGGTATTTCCCCACAGATTGAGAGAAATCACAGAGCTTATCCCATTGCTTGTAAAATACAGACCCTACCCCAAACCTCCAAAACGCAGGCGTTGCGCAGTGCCCACCTGCGGCCCGCCCAAGCACTTCGTGCTTTGGGTCCACAAGCACTAGTCTCATTGATGATGGTATAGATAGATGGCTTC